TTAGACCGGACTGAAGGGTCCAACGAGCAGTGAGGCCGGAGGGTCCCAACCAGATCGGACCGGAGGGTCCAACGAGTTGTGGGACTGGAGGGTCCCACTAAGACACATATACATGAGGATCTTACAGAGTTATAGCCTTGAGTGGCTTACGTATTGTGTGTGGTATTTTAGGGAACTCACTAAGCTTCGTGCTTACCGTGTTATGTGATATGTGTTTCAGGTTTTCTAAGGATCGCAGGAAGGTAGCAGTTTGATTGTACACACTAGAGAAGGAGTTATGTTTTGAGGATCCTAGAGTATTAATCAAACAATTATGGAGTTGTGTTTTGTAAATTTAATTAATGAGAATTTTGTGAGATGTTTTACGAGAATTATATGATTTTAAATGAAAAAAATATATTTGAAAATTTACGTGTTACATTGTCATTCCCTTCTAGGGTGAGACCTTCAACAAAAAACGGTCACCAACCTAGAATTCCAAGAGTTTGTGTCGCTTATCTACGTAACTCTTTTGTCAATCTTGGTATACTTTTAATCGTTCACGGATCTGAACAATCTTCTCTATAGTTTCTCATATAATCTTGGGTCCAGTGAGAGTGTTGTGAGGAACTTGCCCCTTTGCTATTTGTGTGTCACTAACTTCAGCCAGCACAGAGGTGACCTTCACTTGCGGCCATAAAGGGCTTCAAACGTAGCAACTTTTATGCTAGTGTGATAGCTTTGATTGTATGAGAATTTGATGAGTTGTAAATGGGTATCCCAAGCTTTACCAAAGTCTATCATACAGGCTCTTAACATGTCTTCCAGAATTTTAGTTATTCTCTCACTGTACACGTCACTCTGGGGATGGTACGTTGTACTCGTGTCGAGTTTGGTTCCCAAAGACTTTTGTAGTGATTGCTAAAACTATGAGGTAAATCTACTATATCTATCTGAGATAATGGATATTAGAACACCATGTAATCGTAGAATCTCTTTAATGTACATCATGGTTAGCTTCTCCCTCTTTTCGTTCTCTTTTACTGGTAGGAGTTGTACGGATTTGGTTAACCTGTCAACGATCATCCAAATGGTGTTAAGACCACCCGTCTTCTTGGGAAACCTGGTTATGAAATCCATGGTTATCTGCTCCCACTTCCACTCAGATATATCAGAGTGTTGTAGTAAACCTGAGGGCTTTTTGTATTCTACCAGGACCTTCGCACAAGTTAGGCACTTAACCACATAGGTAGCAATTTCTACATTCGTATATTGCGACCGATAAAGTTTCTTAAGGTCTAGGTACATCTTTTCTGAACCGGGATGAACGGAGTATCTAGTCTTGTGAGCCTCGTTCATGACAACGTCTCTGTACCCGCTGAATCATAGTGTCCATATTCGATCCATGAGGTAATGAGTTTCATCATCCTTGACTTAAGGGTTTTTATCCATTCCTCGCATGGGTTTGCCTGCAATTTTATTTTGTTTCAAAGCTTTAAGTTGCGCCTCCTTGATCTGTATGGATAGCTGTGAATGGATGGTCATGGTAAATGATTTTACTCGATGGCCCGAGTATTCTTTTCGGCTTACGAAATCTACTACTACGTTGGCCTTACCCGGATGATAACAAATTTCACATTCTTAGTCATTTAGCAGTTATACCCATCCTCGTTGTTTCATGTTGAGCTCCTTTTGATTGAGGATATGATGAAGACTCCCAATTTGAGGTCATGTATGATGTAGTTGACCTCATGAGTCTTAAACTGTCTCGAGGCATAGGCAATGACCTTTCCTCGTTACATCAGTACACAGCCTAGCCCTTGCTTGAACGCATCGCAGTGGACAACAAAATCTTTCGTCCCTTCTGGAAGGTGCAAGATCGGAGTGTTGCATAGGGCTCACTTTAACTTTTGGAAAGCAGCTACTTGTTTCTCCTCCCAGTTGAAGGTTACACCTTTTTGAGTCAAGGTGGTGAGTGGCTTTACAATATTGGAAATATTTTGTATCAACCTCCTGTAACAGCCAGCAAGGCCTAGGAATTGACGGATTTGCATTGGCGTTCTTGGTGTTGCCCAGTTTTTAATTGCCTTGATTTTGTAGGGATCCACGTGTATCCTTTCCTTGCTGACCATGTGACCTATGAAATCCACTTTTGGAATATAGAATTCACATTTCGACAACTTTGTGTACAATTTATCTGCCCTTATTATTTCCAATACATGTCCTAGGTGCTGACTATGCTCTTCCTTACTTCGTGAATAGACTAGTATGCCATCGATGAATACTATAACAAATTTGTCTAAGTAAGATCGAAATACATGGTTCATTAAGTCTTTGAACACCGCGGTTCATTTGTTAATCCAAAGGGCATTACTATGAATTTGTAATGAATGTAGCAAGTTCTAAATGCGATCTTGGGAATATCCCCCTCCTAGACTCGTAGCTGATGGTACCCGGATTATAGATCGATCTTTGAGAAGTAACTTGATCATTGTAGTTGGTAGAAGAGGTCTTTGATTTAGGGTAAAAAAATATCCGTTTTTGACGGTGAGTTTATTTAGTTCCCGGTAGTCTATGCACATGCAGAATGATCCATCTTTCTTATTCACGAACAAGACTGGTGCTCCCCAAGGTGAGAAGTTGGGTCTGATGAATCCTTTGCTTAGCATTTCATTCAGTTGACTAGATAATTCCTGCATTTATGCTAGTGATAAATGCTATGGGGATTTGCCTACAGGGACGGCTCCAGGAATCAAGTCAATTCTGAACTCGACTTAGCGTACGGGTGGTATTCTCGGAAGTTATTCCTGGGAATACATCGGGAAAATTACAGACTTTGGGAATATCCTTGATGTCTTTCATTTATTGTCTCTCGTCCACTATGTGGACTAAGAAAGCATAGTATTCCTTGTGTGGATACTTTTGGGCCTAAATGCATTAGATGATTTGTGTCAGGTTTGTCACCATAAATGATGAGGGTTTCTCTACTTGGCAGACTAAGGCGAACGTCCCTTTCGTAACACAGGATACCAGCATGGTGAGTACTTAACCAATCCATGCCAATGATAACATCGAAACTCCTTATTGTGACTAGAATTAGGTCGATTTGGAAAGAACTTCATTTAGAGTGAGGGTACATCCTATGTATATATCGTTAGTGCTCTCTCACTCTCTCTCTCTCTCTCTCTCTCTTTGCCATTTCTATGGTAAATGTTTCGTTTAGTTATTCGGGATTCTATTTAAGTAAGTGTTTAAACTTGTGACTCAGGAAACTTTTCTCTAGCATCATGATCTTTAAGTCCTCCCAACTCATTGAGTTAGCTACCGGGAGGGTCAGTGATTTGACGTGGCCATTCTACTAGGAAAGTGCACCGTCACCGAAAGTGCATGCTGCAAATTTAACTTTACTTTCTTCTCGGCATGCACAGATTTCAAACACTGACTCTGTTTCTCGAACCAACGTGTCATGGAAATGACACCTCAACTCCCATTGAAGGGTTTGGGTTTCCAATTTATGTAGTCATTTTTGGAGCATCCCCTTGGATGTCCCTGTCTTTCTCCCTAGTTAGAGTTGTTGGTACCATTTACCAACCCACTAGTACCATTTGTGCCATGGTGGCTACCACAGTGGCATTTACAGCAGCTTGGAAAATGGCAGTCTTCATCTGTGGAGATGGTGGCGGTGGTGGAGTTGTTAGTATGTTGTTTTTGTGCCTGTTTGGCTTCTTTGGTGGCATACTTCTGCTATAATGTTGAAAGGTGGAATGATGGTAAGTATTTGATATTGGTTATGAATCGAGTATTATTTGGTTATGTCGACTGCACACAAATAGTGGTATAAAGGACACACAAATAGTCTAGCTGTATGGTTCTATGGTATCATAAAATAATCCTATAGTATTTTAAACTTTATGTTTGGTTCTATAGTTCCCTTGTATTCGGTGTTGGTAAGTTTTAAACTCGGTGTTCAGAATGACCATTCTCAAATACATGTTAGTCATGTCTCACATAAATATAGTATATCAGGCTATATTTATCCCAGATATAGTTACATAACTATCTAGGCTTAATCGTAGTGTTTAACTTATCTCTTTACTTTTGTGTTGTTCTTATTATGACATTGTTCTAGTATGTATGCATGTACATATACTTTTATAAAAATATTATTAGATTTTTAAAACTATAGCAGAGTGTTTTAGCCTCATTATACTTATAGTTGTATATCTTACGAGGTTTGATATACTTAGTTCACTATAAACAGTGCCCTGATACCAATCTATCACACCCCTAAACGGAGGAACAGCGGAAACGTATGCGCGTAGATGACTATATGTACATTATCATAAAAATTAAATAATAGAGATCAAAGTATTACAACCATCATATTGATACATTATAAGTTTTTACATTGTATTTGAATTGTTGTTTGTTTGATTGCAAAATACATGTGACAAAAATATGTGATGTGACACTGCGACGCCCCATCTTCAAACACTACAAGAAAAATAGCCTTTAATGACGCGCAAACAACGACACTCACAGATTTAGGATACCCATTCTTGTGTGTCCATAAAAATAATGTTAGGTTTCCAAAAACTGAAGGATAGAGGACACGTATTTTTGCGTGCCCTTAAATTTGTGTCTAAAAAAACACGGAGGGCGCCTTTTATGAATAGTGTGTCGTCTAGGCCTGTCGTTTTATAATATTTTAATGAAACATGCGTCTCCATCCATATAGCATCTCTGTATACCTAAGGAGGGAAATGAAATCCCAAAAATTAAAAGCCCCGCTAATTCTCCTCTCCCTTGTTTCCATCAGTTATGCTATTGATTTTTTGATTCGTTCACACTCTAGAACAAGTACATACATCACTCTCTTATTATTCTCCTTTAATTTCGTACTCTTGCAATTAAGGATTTAGGGTTTTTTCATATTACTGTTCCAATTTTTTTTGTTCAGGTTTGGATTTTATTCAAATGGCATCCCTAAAGGAAAGTCTAATGCGTCGGGTCGTCGGCCCATGGTGTCGACAGTCCGTCTCACCATCCCAGCTGGCGGAGGAATACCTGGACCACCGGTGGTAGTAGGTCAGTACAAAGTCAACGCTTGCACCCAAAAATACAAATCGGAAGACCTGATCGCTGGTACTGTGATGTTTTCAAAGACAAACTTTTGAGATGAGTGTTCGTTTCCCTTTAGTGACCTGATTTCTTAAAAACATTGGTGGAATTGACTCCGGGAGTGGACGTGCAGGTCATGTTGTTGCATCAACCGTAACCCTAAAACACATCTATGAAATCGCAAAGGTGAAGCAAGTAGATCCGTAGTCCAATTTCTTCCACATCGAGCCTCACACTAACTGGTTCGGCAACTACAACTCCCTTGATTGTAGCGTCGATCAACAGCTACGAACCCTAATCGCTAACTGCATGGATAAGGTACTTGTTGGCTATTAAATTCTATTCATCTTAATTTCCCCTTTCATATATGTTTTTCATTAGTTCTTTATTTGTATAATCAACCACTTTCTCCCAAAGATGAAAGGATTGTTTCTCCAAATCCTTCTCCAGATGCAACCCTCACAGGGTCCATGAGAAATATATCCAACTAATTATTGGAAGAGCATTATTGAAAGCCTAACTGGTGTTCTTGATACATTCATATTTTTCGTGCTCATGAGTTTGAGGAACATGTTGATGGAAAAACTAGGCTTTTATTACTTCTTTTTGTTATATTTTTGTTACTTCCTTTTGTTACTTCTTTTTGTTACATTTTCTTGTAATCTGCAAGGGGTCTTCAAGGAAACATGGACAGGGGTAAAACAGACAACAATCGTCATATGAAGCTTATACACTTGTATCTTTTTACAACAAGGTGCAGACCACTGCTCTTATATCTTTTCTTTTGTCTTATTCCTTAAGTAGTAACAACCTTTTTCTTGGGTTTTGTAGATTATGAAAATCATGACATGTTTGCATCTGTGGAGACAATTTGGAGATAAGAGTCTATGAGTTATGCAATTTTTGAAATCAAGATCATTGATTGTTCTTCATCTCTACAATATGATTTTCTCCATTGTATGATAAAACCCTCCAAGACAGCCATTACCAAATCAATATCATAAGTTTGATGATGATCACCAGAAGATTCATGATCATGTGAAGGTAATAATAATATCAAATCATTTGGTGTTGCCTCCTCTAACTGAAAGCTACATTTCCTAATGAGTATCATATGTACGGATGGAGATGCCCCTAAAATATTCACCATGCTAAGGAGTCTGAGTAGGAATCAAACTGAAACTGATCCTCTATCTTCTGGAATAAGGCTTACAGTTATCTCAAGTTGTTTCTTTCTGTTTAAAGATTCTTCTTGAGTGATTTGAGAAGATGTTGATGTTTCAGGATTATCACATCTACCCCTTGTAACATCTGGATGCCAATGACATGCATAAACATGCAAAGCTTCACCTATAAGCTTTGGTGGAATCATGTATGTTGACCTTACAGTATTAATGACACATCTGAATAGGTCTATATTAAGGTCTCCTATGTCTTCTGTCCACCAATCTTTGGGTGCAGATTTGTGCTTCTTTTGAAATTGGTAATTTCAGGAAGAGTTGTTGATGGAAGAAGCCCAAGTAGGTCTCCTTTAAGGTAAAAAGACGTAAATGCCCTTATCATTGAAAATAGCATCCGTAAAAAGTTTTTTTTTTGTCTGTTTAAAGTTGATGTTTTGTTAGGAACCTGATGGACTATTCACTATTCTATACGTGTTTGTTACTTACATCAATGTTTTTATTTTTTGCTAACAGGCAAAATAGAAAACTGGATGAGATGTATGACCAATTGAGAAGTGAGTATGATTCGGTCAAACGGTCAGCCATTCAACCTGCAAACAACTTCTTCTCAAGGGGTGGTGATTCTGATCTGTTTTCTAGTCCTACTAACATGATGGATAACAGAGATCAAATATTCTCTTTGAGAGGTCAAATGTCAGTCAAGGCTGGTCAACAGGTGAGTCAAACCTATCACATTCAAGATTCAAGTTTCTATAGCTTCTCCCACATATTTTAACATTATGTTGTTACTGAAATTGCGTATAAAATTTAACCATTTGGTATAGCTTCAAAAGAAATGAAAGCTATAGCTTCTCCCACATATTTATTTATTATTTTAAATTTTGCCCTTAATTCTATTGTTTACTGTTATTAGGTTAACCAAATTGGATTCGTAACTTAGTGTATTGAAGGTGTGAAGATGTCCAAGCATGATGGGTGGGGTGTAATGGCTAGTCACCGAAGGTACAAAAATCCCTTTCAAAATATATATAAACTACTTTTTCTAAAAAAATAAAAAAATATATAATATTTTTGAAATATGTAATAATTTATTATGTTTGCAGTGGTGAAACAGAGGACACCTTCATTGCTGATCTTTCTGTCTGTTTGGCTACAGTAATTATCACATTTTTATACAAATTATATTATTATTATTCTTTCATTAATTCAAAATTCAAAATTTCTTGTTATTGATTCAAACAATGCAACGGAACCTTCCAGGGTCAAATCAAGACTTGAGCTTCTTGCAGATCTAAGCGTCTAGCAAAATACAACCAGGTTGACTTTTTCTCCCTTTCTTCTTTCATAATTTTTTTACTTTATTATAAAAACTAAGTTAGAAAACAATAAGTCAAGAAAATGAGTCTATACAATATGTTATTCAAGACAGTTTTTAACGAAAATTATTGGTGGATGATATTATCAGCTTTCGAGAATTGAAGAATAGCTTGGTTCAGAGGCAGTTTATGCAGGAGCAAACTTCCAGAAGCCAGTGGAACCTTAATAGATTTGTGTTGACAGATATGAGGAAGAGTTGTCCATAAACAATTACCAATCTATAATAAGCACAATTTAAGCAAAATTAGCCTACCAAGCAATATCTTGACTTTAACTAATTACTGACATCTACCAATCTATTGAAACTGTTTACTTTATGTGCAAAATGAGTGTACTGAAATTTATCATATGTTGGAGCCTCAACAACTCTACAAGTCATTATTTATTATTTTTTTTATACATGTGGATTTACTGTTGTTCTATATTTATTTTCTCTTAACTCTAATAGTTTGGTTCATTGAACCCTTTTTTTTTCAGGGGCGACCAGATTCATTTGATTAGGGCAGGAAAACACCAGGTCAGATAAGAAATGTTGTAGTTTTAACAAAATATACTAAAACCAAATATGTTTTGTTTTTCTTTTTTGGTGGGCAGGTGGCTTTTCTTGTAAAAAGACCAATTTATTTAGTTTGCATAAGTTGTACAGAAGAGCCTTATGAGTCATTACGTAGTCAACTGGAACTTCTTTATGGCCAGGTTGGTACCTTTTTTTATTTTACATTCTTATTATCATTATTATATGATTTTATACATTTAAGTTTTGAGATATATCATTTTACATGGGATGCAGATGGTGCTTATACTCACAGAGTCTGTAAGTAGATATTTTGAGAAGAATCGAAAGTTTGATATTACGCCTTTACTTGGAGGAACAGATGCTGTTTTCTCTTCCCTCTTCCACTCTTTTAGGTTGGTTCGTTTTATCTTATTTTATTTTCAAAATGATGTCAGTACTCCATCAAATTACAAAACCAAAAATTATGCATTTCATTGTTGTTTTTTTTTCAGGAACCCTGCCTCTTTTCTTCATGCATACACCTATCTTCCCCTTCCTCGTGCAACAAGGCAAACTGTTGTTGCTATCTTGCAAGATGTTTCTGATTCAGGCGTCATCTATTCAATGCTCATGAGTAAATACAAGGTTTTTTTCTTTTTTTTTTCTTTTTACCTCATAAATGGATTTCTTTTATGTAATTTATTTTCTTCAAATGCAGGTTGTGAGTCTTGTAGGTGCACAGAAAGCACAACTCCATCCTGATGACATGCTGCTTCTTGCCAATTTTGTCATGTCATCTGAATCTTTTAGGCAAGTTCATTATTCCATCACTTTTTATTTTCCATATTAATTGTGTGTGTGTGAAATGTTACATGTTTGATGCAGGACATTTGAGTCATTCTCCCCCATATGTTTACCAAGATACAATGCCCTTTCTACATGCTTATGTTCATTATTTTGATGTAAGTGAGAGAAACTTTAATTAAGTTTTTCTTATGATATTTTTTCACTACTTACTAGTGATTGTTACAGGATGATACACACCTGGTGTTGCTAACATCTAATTCTGATGCCTTCTTTCATCTAAAATATTGTCGGTATGTATTTATTTATTCATTTATTAAAGAACATTCCATTTAATACACATTCAAAAACTATATCGTATAATTTGATTTATCCATTAATTTGATTTCAATTAATTTGGCAAGGTCACACTGTAAGGTAATTATTTGATTACCTTTCTTACATATATTATATTTTCACAATAGATTTAACATTTAATGCCTTTATTTTACATTGATGCAGGATGGTAAAGCTTATGAGGCAGTGCAAGAATGTGAAGAACTAAAGAAGAAATGTTTGTATTTGTGAGTATTGCCTTCTCTTTCATTCCTACTTCGTTAGTTATTGCTATTATGAAGGTAAGCCACTCTCCGGTTGTATTTTTCACATAATTGACAAGGAGCTGTTGTATCTATTCAGACTAGGCTTAGAGCAATGGTTGCAAGAGATGAGTTCAAAAGAAGAAGAAACAAGGCTGCAACTATAGTTCAGGTACTATGGATGAATTATGTTTGTAGAGTATTTAAGAAAATGATTAGAAACAAGGGTGAATTTGTATAGATTAGTTAGGTACTTGCAGGTTGATCTTGAATAAGCAAAGGGGCAATGGATTGTATTTTTTGTATCTAATTCGTTTGTAAATTTTTGTTACAACTTCTATTGATTTGTTTTATCTTTCCAAGGGATGATTATTTGTATGACATTAAATTTATGCAATGGATTCTATTTTTTGTATATGATATTTTATTTTCTATTATGAAACATTAAATACAAATTTAATTTGAAAATAAGTAAATTTATAAATAATACTTTTTTAAACATTTAAAATTATGATACGCAAAAATGTGTGTCGTCTTCATTTATGACATGGCCTTTCTTGACAGGGCTTTCTTGATACGCATTGCGTGTCATTAACACGTGCGTCATAAGGTTACAACACGCGAATGCGTGTTGTCTTCCTTTATGACAGGGCCTTCCTTGATACGCATTGCGTGTCGTAAACGTGCGTCATAATTGAGCATCGTAAATGCGCGTCATCTATAGAGGACGCGTAAAAGTGTGTCGTCTCACTTTATGACAGGGCCTTCCTTTACGCGCATTTGCGCGTCCTCTAAGCCTTTTACGACGCGCAATGAGCTTCGTAAAAGGCTGTTTTTCTAGTAGTGAAAATACTTATGGGTACCTGTTTACTGATTTCCTGAGAATACAAGTAGTTTTGAAAAGTGTCAACAATTAATTTGGTCAGTTCATAAGCGTTTTGTATGAGAAAAATCTGTCGTTTTTCTTTGTAAAATGATAGAGTGTACTTAGACAGAATCCAATATTTTCTTGTAATGAACTGTAGTTTTGGAATCCTTAAGACTGGTATATGTAGGTATTTCTATACTAAAAGTAATAATTTGTAGTTTTAATTCATATAAAACCATTTGAATGTATGTTCCAAGAAATGCCCGTTGTATTGTACTTGAAAATAGTATAATGTAGTTTTAATCCATATAAAACCATTTGAATGTATGTTTCCAGAGATGCTAGTTGTATTTCTCTTGAAAATAGTGTGATGTATTTCTATATATATAAAACCATTGTATGTCTATTTCAAGAAATGCTAGTTGAACTGTACTGGAAAATAGTATAATGTAGTTTTATAATTATATAAAACTGATTGAAGATAGTATGCTTCCATATATCGTGATAGAGTGTTCCCAAAAAATCCAATATTTTCTTTTAAAATGAACTGTCGTCTTAGACACCCTATGATTGGTGTATATATGAATTATACTGGAAAATAGTATCATGTTGTTTTATCATTAAATAAAACCGATTGAGAATCATGTAAGTTAGCCCCGTAAACAAAATGTATTGGTAATACCCTATGTGAGTTATCATAACCATGCTAGCGACTAGTGGTCTGTTATGATGTTGTTCAAGCATCTGAATGGTACAATTTTGTCACCCTAGACCTGCTGTTCTAACTATAGATAACAATCTAGGTGTGGGATTGTCAGTCCCTTATAGATTCATACACAAGTGTCACGCTCTCCCTGCAAGAGACTCTGGTTTGCAATACAGGATGTTAGTATGCACTTTAAAAAGTACATGAAGATAGTATCAAATAACCTTGTATTAACAGGTTTATGTATAGTGTAATGAAAACCACTTTTTATTTGTAAATTGAAAGTATTGCCCTTCCAGTGGTTGTTACATGGCATAAAAATAATTATCCCTTTAAATAATTATTTCTTTGGCCCAAAAGGAAAAAAATAGTGTGTATGCCCCCAAAAACTATATTTACCATATTTTATAAAATATGTCGTTGAAATGAATAATCCCTTGTAGTTGTGTAACATCCCGAACCTTTTTCCATTAACATTAACCTAATTCCTGTAATGCCCCATTTCTGAATAAGAAGAAGAAGGTAGAAAGTTCAAAGGAGAAGAAGAAGATCCAGAAGCTACACCTCATTTGATGCACCTTCTGGTAATCTACTCTCAAACTTGATCATTCTTTTATTAGATCTTCATTTATGCTTGTTTTTGTCACTTTTTGGTCTTTTATTAGATCTTCATTTAAAGCTAGTGAGATCATAAGTATTTTAGTGTCTGTATTTGTAATAGTGTATTTGTAAGAATGTATTTGTAAGGATGTATTTGTAAGACTATATTTGTAAGTATTAGTATGTAAACGTTTTGAATAACCTAGAAAACCCTTTGCTTCCTACTGAAAGTAGCCTTCTACCAAGGCATCTAGTACCTAACTGTGTCTATTGTAAGAGTGTGTATTTTCCCAAATCTAACTATCATTAACCAAAAATATAGTACTTACATTATAGTGCATCGTGTGAATGTTCACGAAGTGAATGTAATGGAGAAATAAGAAAGTACTATAGTTTTATAATAAGTGACTACTGTTGTACTAACTACCTTAAACCAAATGAAATTTAAAGTAACTCGTGATCGGCATGTATCCTGCTACCGAATCAATAGTAAAACGACGATGTAAGATGCCGTAAGAAATGACATTTGGCACCCGTAGACTTGCAAGTCCCACTGTAGCGAGCAGCAAGGTGTAAGATAGTCAATCCAGTATAGATATATATGCAAACTCATAAGCTCCCCAATTAAGGAGATTCTGGATACAAAAACGGTCAAGGTAGGTAGTGTCATGACCCATTTAATAGCTCACATAACTGAATGTAATGTATATGTAATGTATGTGCTAGCTATATTGTGTCTTCTTCCTCTATCTAGCCTATAAGTTTGTTTCTCATCACTATGTATTATGTTTGTTTCTCATCACTATTGTGACAACCCAAAATTTCTATTCTGAATCAAACCATTTCAATCCAATAGAAGTAGAGCAGTTACAGTAAGAATTCAGACTTAGAATATAAGTTTGGCAGTTTCAGGGTTTTACACCAAAAAGGGGTATTAGGAGAGTGGGTGCACTAGGGTTTGGTGCAACACTGTTATTCCAACACTCTAATTTATTAGGGATCATTTCAGGAATAAAAATATTTTCTACCAAAATACCTCAGGACTATAAATAGATTTCCAAACCAAAATCATTCATTATTCACATTTCCGACTAGAGAAAAGCCATTTTCTCTCTGACGGATCTTCGGGTTTTTATACCAAAAGGTGAGTAACTCTTTATAGTATTGTTAGAAAGCTTTATACGTGTCTATAACATGTTTTAGAAGGCTAAAACATGAAATCTAGGAGTTTACACCTCGAGGTGTTCTTGAGCGGTAAACTCTCGAAACGAAGCCAAAACCGATACTTGTGTTATGATAAGGCCTTATATGTTTATGTATGCATGTTAGGGACAAGAAAACAAGCCACAATCCACCCAAGATTGGGAGTTTACGGCCCAGAACCCTCTTAGGCCGTAAACTCCACATTCCAACACTAAATGGTGTTTTGAGGACACTAGGACTTAAAGGCTTGTATCTAGACTATTTCCCCAAGAAGAACAAGGTTTTAAACACACCAAATGACACAACTAAAAGTGAGTTTATGGCGCAAGAGAAGCTTAGGCCGTAAACTCCATTGAAATGGACAAAAGGGTGTCTTCAAGACACCTAAAGCCCAAGACCCCTTCATGGAATTGTTTCCCACAAAAATGAAGAACCAAAGTACATAAAAATCACTCATCAAAGTGAGTTTATGGCCAAGAGAATGCTATTCGGCCGTAAACTCAAAAGAAAGGCACCAAAGTGTGCCTAGGGTTCTCATTAGCTTTAAACAATTGCCTAGAACATATCCTTCAAATGCAAGAGATTTGAAAACAACAAAAACAAACCATACTTAGAGTTTACGGTCGTAAACTCTAAGGGGAATGGCCTTGAGGCCGTAAACTCCTAATTGGAGTACTTCTAGACCCTAAACCCTTCCAAGCACTTAACCACTAAGTTAGAACAATTCTAGAAAGCATTGGGGACTTCAAAACACACCAAACACACATGTTTGGGAGTTTACGGCCATAAACTCAAGAGTTTACAACTGTAAACACCATGTGTGATGGTTTATAGAGAGTAAACTCTCACATAGGGTCCTTTGGAAACCCTAAACACAAATACCCTGTCCCATAATAGCTTAGATGCAATCCTTAAGGATTGAAACACTTATATAAAGTGTTTATTATGTCTAGGATGTCTTAAACATTATCAATTAGTCATTTGTGTCTAATTGAGTGCATATATGTGTGATTATATGTTCATTAGGATCCTAGTGTGTTCACAAGTCCTCGCTTGACACCTAGCCATCCTATACCGTTCAGTTCATTCCAATCACCAACTGCAGGTGAGTTCATACCCCTTAACTAATGTTTTAAAATCTTTTTAAATGTTTTATGGGGGGGATACAAGTAGAATCATGCTACTTATTATGTCAATCACATGTGGTTAGTAAGTAGGATTACATTACTTATTACATCAATCACATGTGATTAATATACAACATTCAAATGATTTGGCTACTCATTAGCCGTTTTACCAAATAGTTTCCTTCAAATGACTTTTTATAAACATTTTATATGTTTTAAACTCCTTTTTACACACTACAGCTTACTCCGTACATTTCCTTTCAAACTTATTTACAACTGTGTTTCAAACAAATGTTTCTTTATACTTAAACTGTTTTATTAAACTTATGCCTTCAAATTGTTTTATAGATTGACATCAAGTCGATCTTTTCTTAAAATAATACTTATATTTCAAATGTTTTACAAAACTTATTTATGCTTTTATATTATAAATTGCATGCCTCTATATGTATAGTTATATAA